TAATAAATGCAAACCTTCATGCCAGGCACATCTACGTTAATGTGCTAGCCCTACATACTTACAGTGTAGTAGAGGTGGGCTCCTTAAGCTTTCTGAAAGTAGCTACCTCAAAAGGGAGCTACTAATAACTATCTTGTAATATTATCTTATATCTTGTAATATCTTGAAATAGATATCAACCAAAGTTATTCCTTACATCTTCTAAGTCTAGTCTTTCCCCTGGAGTATCTAGGATATGAAATAGTTTCTAGAATTTCTCCGTAGAAATGACTTTACTGTTTTTTTAATCAAATACAGGAATATAATTATATTTAGCACTCCTGATGTTTTTAGTCCCAGATTTCCAATATCAACAAGTTTGAGTTTGTATGGACAGTGAGGAAGAACATTAATTGCCAAAGGAAACATGAATTACCAGTTTATGGGCCAGTTTATGGAAGGAAGCACTCATTAGTTAATCAGACAGAAATACACTACCTCAGAATGTTTCATAAAAGTAGGTTTGATGATGGGAATTCTCCTGGAATCATGTAGTTTTTCTAGTTCATAATGGAGATATTGATCATGAGAATGGAGAGACAAAGCAGGTAGAAACTGTATCAAAATCAGAGACCAAGAACCATAAAAACTAGAACATGAAAAGCATAATATTCTGTGCTATTAACTTTAAGAGGTATAGACCCACACATTTGATCATGTCTATAGGCATTATTGCATCCTTGGTGAATGGCTGAGTATGTGAAACAGGAAGATTGAATATTCACACTACTCTGTTTAGAATTGGGTTGTGATGTTATAACATTCCAGAAAGATTTTAATCCATAGTAACTTATAGAAAAATGTTTTATTCAAGATAATATTTAGAAGATTCATATCTAGAGAATCTTTTGTTAGACAAAGTATGATGAGAGTGTTTTGTGTATATGTGAAAACCACATAATATTTAAAACCAATCAAATATACATATACCCTCCAATTTATAAAGAGGTTAAACCCTGGTAAAAATAAGTTGAAAGGGCACTTCATTTTTCTGATCTATCTAATCCACTCCATACTGTAGTTAAACAGCACAAAATACTGGAGAATACCAGTTGTTTACTCTATGGATTCCATTTCTGACTGATAGCAGAGGCTTGCTGCCACTACTCAGGGTTACAAGAGGGTATTGTACTTCATATAATTAGCTCAGAAAAAGATCAAAATTCAGAGCCCAGTTCCTTATGAATGTATGGCTTCTACACTATGATAAAGTTGAAAAGTTCTAAGTTAAATCATTGTAAACTAGGAACCATCTGCATACAATATTTTTCAAAAATGCTATTGATGACTAAAAGTAAAATATATTCCGTACTTAATTTTTTTCTACAAAATGTTGACAAGCCTGGTAAGTCCCCATTTTAGCTACCAATCCAATTGAGCAAGTTATTGATTACAGTTCACTTAGAAGAATATTGGTATATAAAACCGCCTCTGTAAAGGTGGAAACTGATATTTTTTCAACCTAAAATAATTACACATTTTTTTTAAATTTATTTTAGACACTGAAGATTTGAAAACTACTAGTGATAAATACTGTGAAGAATCTGCAGTCAGCCCACACTCTTTTCTGTAATTAATAGGATTGTTCAGAAAGATTATCTGCTTTAAGTTCTGACAATCTCTTGATCCTTTATCTGCAGGAACACTAATCACTTGAGAAGGACAAGTTTGAGGGAATTTGCTTCAAAGCTGGTTTAGATTAATTTTTTGTCATCACATTTATTGCTCTAGATTCCTTTCTTCTATCTCTATTTCAGCTGTTTTCATGACTTCACATTCGCTTGGACACAGATGAGGTTTTTTGTTTTGTTTTTGCATTTTCTAGTGAGATGAACATTTATGAAGGTCTTTTCTTTTTTACTTTTGGTTGGATTTCTACCATCCAAGCTTAGGAAACACATTAAGTGGTCTGAGAATTAGGAAGTCTTGGCTCTTAGTTTTCCTTTCTGAAATGGTAAATCTTTTGGTAATCCACCATGTAAACAAAGACTACTTTAATGAAACTAAACTTACTAGGATAGCAAAGTCTCTTGGATCAATGAATGGCTAAAATTCTGGTTTAAATATGGGCAGGTGCTTGACAGAGCCTGGAAAGCAGGAGCTTCACAGGTAAAAACACAATGTAGTGAAATCAGAATGTGAGAAATGGAACCTCAAATTCCAGGGAGTTTGGTTTAGGCTGAATAACAAATTGACTCTTGCTGTGAATTGGGTTCCCAATAGAAGTCCAACGGGACTTCTACAATGTGGAAAATGAAACTCCTTAGGAGGAAATAAGGAGGTAGTTTGGAAAAAGAATTGCATACTGGACAGATAAATGTCAATTGCTGTTACTACCTACCATCTTTAAAAGTTGTTTTCTCATTTAAGTCTTTGGGTTACCACGTCCCAGGAATATTTCCTTCTATGAGTATCTATAAAACCAATGACCCATAATAGAGCAAACAGGAAAATGGTGTTTATGAACAGTGGTAGGTTATATGACTATATGTATTATCTATTGCTGCTTAACAGTATTATCACAAACTTAGCATTTTAAAACCTTTATGTCAGTTTCTATGGGTCAGGAGTCTCAACGTGGTTAAGGGTCTTTAGTTCCATAAAGCCAAAATCTCATCAGAAACTTGATGGGAAAAAGATCTTAGATTTTTATCACTGTGACAAAATACCTGAGAAAATCAATCTGAGGGAGGAAAGTTTTATTTTTGTCTCACATTTCAGAGATTTAAGTCCATTATCATTTGGTTCTGTTGTTTCTGGGCCTGTGGTGGTGTCCAGCATTGTAGTGGGAGTATATGGTAGAGCAAAGTCTCTCATCTCTCAGGATAGCCAGGAAGTAGAGAGAACCAGAGACCTTGGGCAAATATTCCTATCTACCCCCACAGTGACTCATTTTTTTCAAACTAAACTCTACCTCCTGAAGTTTCCACCATTTCCCAGCATCCCATTAAATTGTAAATTTAATGGATTAATCTACTAGTGAGGTCAGATTCTCATGATCAAATGATCTCCTAGGGACCTCCACCTCTGAATACTATTGCAGTAGGGACAAACCAGCCTTTTTTGGGGGGGGTCATTTCATATCCAAAAAATAACATACCTTAAGTTTACTTAAGTTGTTCACAGAATTCAGTAGAATTCTTTGTAGCTAAAAGTAAACTTTTAAGAATTCAGTTGTTGAAGGCTATATACTACCTTCAGCCCAAAGTTCCTTACCATATTGGGTTCCTTGGTTTCCTTGATTCTTCAAAGTCAGCAAGAGACTCCAGCCAGCCAAATATATAAGATGGAATTATAAAAACACATACACACAATTATACACTCTCTCACTTTTATGGTATCCTACTAGTTAGAAGGAACAGATCCTATCCATATTCAAGAGGCAGGGCTCACACAAGCATATGAACACCAGTTGTTTGGGGGAAGTATTGGGGTTTGAATTCAGGGTCTTGCTTGCCAGAAGATTGTAATCAAGGGGTACCTTCAAGAATGTCAAGTGACAGAACTAGTAGGAGCAGTCTCCAGAGATACCTTGAAGCCTAACACGTCTTTCTTCTTGTGCACTTGATTTCCCCAGCCAGGTATTCTTGTGTGGATACTGATGGACAAACAGAAACTTGGCCTTCAACTTATCTAGTTCTGCCACAGGTCTGTGTGTTACATTAGCTTTGTCTGAGTTAATCCCAATTTTGTGTATGCAATTAAATCCACTTAGCCTCCACAGAACTACATATTTTACCATTGGCACCTTACCTTCTCTACTGCATGGAGATGTTTTGCTTATTTTTGTTTCTAAGTTATATAATAGACACCTTAAAAGCAGAAGCCAATTCTTGTATCAGGAATCATTTACATACCTCCCAAGTAAAATAAAAATAAAGACAAAAGAATTTTGAGAGTAAGTTCTCTAATTGTATAGAGGAAGCCGGATCTCTAGGTAAACATGAAAATCTGCCGTTTCCTTTATTTGGTTGTGCCAACAAAGATGATCATACAAATGCTCAGATTATCTAAAAAATGTGACTGATTTCTACCAGAGCTTCTAGGCTGCATCCAACAGACATTTCAAATCCCTACACACACTAGCAGGGTGACCACGGGTATGTTGCTTTAAACTCTGGGTCTTAAGTGACCTAGCTCATAGATATAATACAATTAAAATGTATAGCATCATTTTTGTCATAGAGCCAATAAGTAGGAAATAGATATTAAGATTCTTTAAGACCATAGCCAGGGAAGCTCCATCAATTCTCAAAATACAATTTGTCCTGTTAACAATGGGGTTAGCTATCTTATAACCCCCTATACCACTCTTGGGCATATATCCAAAGAAGTATAAGTCAGTATTCATGTTTATTGCAGCTCTGTTCACAACATCCAAGCTGTGGAATCAGCCAGTGTGTCCAACAGCCAGTAAGAATTTATGATCTATATAATATATATAGTGTATAATCTGTATTTCTATGTAATAAAACCCACCAAACGCTGTTTGAGAAAACTGAGGGAGGACATGGGAATATAACAGAGGATGAATTTGTCCAAAGAACTTTGTATGTATGCAATTTTCACAAAGAACCCCCCTTATACTATTAATGTATGTAAGTAGAGCAGGAGAATTGGTGTCTGATCTTCCTCAGCAAAGAGTAGGAAGCCTGGGATAGATGCAGGTTATGCTGGGGTAGGGCAGTGAAGCTCCTGCCTTTCATCTCTAGTCTCCAAGGGAAGAGTGGAAAGCTTGTGGCACTTAGAGAGGTAACCTTGGTCAAGTATTAGCCTTTACCAAGCTATATTCACTATTCTAAGCAAAACCAAGGATCTCAAGAGAGGAAGAGAATTTAAACTTTCTATAAATTTGACATATCTAAATCCCATGATATATTCTCCTTCCCAGAAATCTGCCTCTGAGAATAAAGTTTTTTCTCCCAAGACCGCCTAAATGGCCAAATGAAAATGTTAACTACATTTTAGAAAAGTTTTAATTTGAACAACTTATGATTAAAAATACATTTTATAAATAATTTTTCCATAGACTTGATTGAGGATTGTTGCAAACTCTACAAAAAGACATACTGCAACACCAACAGATTAAAGAAATTACAAAAAATATAGCTTTAGCCCTCCTATTAAAAATACATTATACATCACACAGCATTTTCTTTGTGCAAAAAGTATGAGAGTGCTGTGTTAGGCATACTAAACATATTCACTCAAACAAAAGTAAACTTTAATACAGGTATTTTGCATAATAATGTGGGCACAGTTGAAATAATGAATCTTCCCCCCCACAAGTTAATATACCTTCGTTCAACATTTTACTTTTATTTTGTAGGCTTGAAGGCTGAACTTAGCCTTATACAAATGTGTGTGTGCGTGCACGTATTTATGTATGTATGTATATATGTATGTATGTATGTATGTATGAAAACAAATATCAGCTTTGACATTGAGTAACCCCAATGTATATTTACAGTATTTTCAGTGATGGTGTTTTCCAAAGCAGTCTGTGTACATCTTCTCTGTTAAATAGCTCTTTAGAAAAATCAAATAATCAATTAGTGGACATCTTCTGTTGAGACTTCCAGTTTCCGCTGTGGGACAAAGAGAGTTCCAAAGGAGGTTTTATTAGCACCATCAAAATCCATACAGGATGGGCCAGGCAGCTTGGATGGTCCACCTGGGGTACGGAAGAAACTTTCAGCCACTAACTGTGACCCTTTGGGTGTTACAGGAACAGGCTGATTGGAAAGAAGAATGGAAAAAAGGAGTCAAATTCGCAGACAAACATATGTGTGAGCAGACCCAGAACACTAGGCTAGATAAATGCGCTGCATGTTGGAATACTAGCATATCTTAACATTGGCTAGGGAAGCCTTGGAGGGTTTAATATTCTCATTACTTTTGCTAAAAGAAGACAAAACCTCATGATAACCCAGTAGGCACTCTTCCTGGATCTGAAAGGAAGGCTGACTTTTAATCACTCCCTTTGCTATCCTTCCTCTCTCTAGAGTCTCCTATGATGTTATTTGGGGCATATTAATTCTAGGAATAATTAAATGAGAATGCTTTTACCTGTTGTGGCCCCGTCACAGCAATTGATTGTCCATTTGCTTGGCTCTGGCCTGGGACTGGTGAGTCATGGTTGGTGGCTCGTCCTTGTTGAGAGCCTGCATTTTCTGGTACAGTACTAACTGTTTCTATTCTTGGGGATACAGGAACAGCTCCTGTACCAGGCCCAGGGCTGGCAGACACCTGTACACTGGGAGATATGAGTCCCAAGTGTTGCAAGGTAAAGTTTACAATGGCTGAGCTTGGGTTCTGGACAGGAACGGGGTGGCTCGAAGTGAGAGCCGGGCTGTTCCCAACAGGTACGGCTGCCACAGGAGTTGGTGAAACCATAAGCTTCAAAGGTGTCACATGAAAAGAGGGAAAATTAACAGCAGTGAGTTCAGATGATGTCACTGGGATAACACCTGGAAAAAAGGGGGGTGGGGAAGAGTTCTTAAAAGCACAGGAATTTGGCTGGGAAGTTTACAAGGCGTATCTGAACTTAAGACTGGCTCATGTTTGAAAGTATTCTTCATATACTCACCTGCAATGGGTGAGCCGTAGATCCTTTGGTTTGGGGAAAGTGTACCTGAGTTTTCTTTACTAGATAAAATGGATTCTGCCCCCAGGGATGAGCACTGAGTGAGAGGGATTAGGTATCCTGATGGGAACAAGGTCTAGAAAACAAGGAGGAAGGATTTATTTTACACAAAAATGGCCACGTGTCACTTCAGGACAATAGCCTTTGACTGTTTTTCTCACTGACCCAAGTTTTCCAATAGCTGGGATATAGGCAGCTCAGTCAGCCAGATACCAAAGGACAGTGCCTCCCACTCATTCCAGTTTTTGCCCTGGAATAATACAGAATATTGATTTCTTAAATGCTACCCAAAGCTACTTAGTATTAAGGCTTACCTGGCACACTTCCCTTACACTGATGTCCTAAATACTGCTATGTCCTGCTATGATGTGACACTGTGAGTACCAAGCTTAATGGAGGCCAACACCACGTATGACAAGTTTGGACTTTTAACTACTGTTCTTGAATTGGGTAGGATGGTATTTCCCAAAGAGTATTCTGAGGAACACCAGTTCCTAGGGATGCAAACAGGCATTGCTTGATTCATGCTCAAATATGTTTAAGAAAAGCTTAAACAAAAGCCAACAGTATCTTTAAATAGATAATTTTCTAGATACTTTACGTGGGCATGAATTATAAATCTCCAAGTAGGGTGTATTGTATTTACTATTGCCATATTATTTTGCAAATAAATTTTTGGTAAGGCTATTAAAAAGAGCTCATACTAAAAAGAAAAACATTTTAAGCAGTGTTGATTTAGAGAAAGGAGTGGCCAAACTTTGGTCCAGGAGTATATCTAATCTTTTGCTTGATTTTGTCAAGGTTTCTTTGGAACAGTCATGCCCAGCATTTATGTGCTGTCTGTGGCTGCTTGCCTGCTACACTGTCAGAGTTGAGTCGGTGTAACAGCCAAACATATTTACTGCCTGGCCCTTTCTAGGAAGTCTGTTGACCCAATTTAGACCTAAGAAATTAGAATTTTTTGTACATGACTACTTATTTGGATGATACCAAGCAAGCTTATATAAAAGTACTTCAGAGGCTGAAAATAACAGAACAAAAGGTGATCTGATTAATTCATATTAGAGATGCAGAATGCCATTAGGGAAAAAAAAAAAAAACCTTGAGGCAATAAAGTAAGTAATAATAGAAAAGGCTGAGGGTTACATGTACCTGCCATCCTGCCTGTTAGATCTCGGTGCTTCTCCAAACAGAAAGCTAACCTGCCTGAAAAGTCTGCTTTAGCCTCTCCATACTCAGGACTGGCGAAAGTTAAAAGCAACTCTTATAAATGGGGGAGCTCCTTTTTATCTTCCTTCAAACTTATTTTTTCTCCATTGCCAAAGCAATAGTCCACACTTCAATCTCTCTCCTACTAGGTCTTTCCCTTGGGAATCAGAGGATTTCGAATTTACAAAGCTGAAAATATACCACAGGTTTAAATTTTGTTTCTTAGAATCAGAAATAGCGAATTTTTTTAACACTTGCTCTGTTATTTTTAGTTATGTTCCTTGACAGGATAAATTATTACTACTGGTTTAACTGAAGCCTTCAGTGAAACCCATATTACTCTCATAATTATGTCTCCATAATAAATAATAATTGTCAATATAAATTATACTTATTAAAGTCTTTTAACCTATAATGCCAATTCCATTTAGAAAATATATTAAAATTATTAGCCTTAAAGAATGAATTTGACATAATTCCCCTTGAAAATTACGTCTTCCAGCCTAGTCATCCTGACTCCCTCTTTTACCTTCAAATTGTTTTGTTTTCTCTATTCTTATCATCCACTATCTGATAAGTTTGCGTTTGTTTGGATACTGTCTTCTCTCCACCCCTAGAGTGTTTGGATTCTTGGTAAATGTTTGTTGGAATGAATTAGCACATGAAGCTTGCTCTGTCTTTCTTCCTTTTTTGTTCTGTTCATTTCATGCTAAAAAGGGTCAAAATGAACCCACAGAGGTTAAAAAAAAAAAAAAAGAAGCAAGTTGCATTCTACCCATTGAAAACCCTAATCCTGAACGTCTCAGGGAGCAACAGGAGATCATTATTCAATCGTACTCATTGGCCCAAAGAGATTATGGACCTCCCAGAAAATGAATGAAGCCAGCCTTGTGATTTTGCCCCTAGCATGTACATTAAATGCAAAATGATACTATGTGAGATAATACACGTTTTGAATAGCTTTCATGGGGCCATCCTCAGGGAAAATTTGGCACTCTAAAGCTCCCTTAATAACCAGTTAGAGATAATGCCCTTCAGCTGATATGGTGTCTTTAAAAGACCAGAAACCTCTTTATGTATATTATCATGTAATAAATTCAATAATCCCATAGAAACTGTCATGTGGCCATGGGCAAGTACTTAGAAGCAACCACAACTAAAGATGATAGAGTGAGATCTGAATCCAGAGCACAGTTTTTCTACTCAGTAAGTGCACAGTAAAAATATGTGGAAGTTTCTTTCTTCTTTCTTTCTTTCTCTCTCTCTCTCTCTTTCTTTCTTTTTTTGCCGGTGGTGGGGCCTGAACTCTGGGCCTGGGTGCTGTCCCTCAGCTCTTCAGCTTTACCACTTAAGCCACAGCACCACTTTTGTTTTTTTCTGCTTATGTGGTCCTGAGGAATCGAACCCAGGGCCTCTTGCATGCAAGGCAAGCACTCTACCACTGAGCCATCTTCCCAGCTGCTGGAATAGTTTCTTGACAAATGAATACATGTAAGATGTAGGGAAGTAAATACCTTGTGTTAACGAAAGGGGCAAAATGAGAGTAACTTCCGCCTCCATGATTAATTGAATTTACTCAGTCACACTGTCTTTCATGAATAATTGTCCTAAGACAGGAGAATGAGACAATGTCTATAAAAGAACTAACACCTATGATATCTGCTCTGTGGATAGACATTCAATGTTACTTTATCCTGAGCTAATTTCCTAGGGTTAAAAAAAATTACCTAGCATGTCAATATCTATAGAAATCAAGGCATCCAAGAAACCTACAAGTTACCAAGATTAGTTTGACTTTTCCATTTATACAACGTAGAAATTGTGATTGACATTTGAGGTAGGAACTGAAAATGAGGAACATATTATCTTCTAGGCAACAGATGCCAGGTACATGACATCAAACAAACACTGAAGAATGACTCAGAAAGCAGGAGTCACAGGAATCCTATGTCTGCTTATAAATTATTTATGACTTCATGACAGTTGTTTGCATTCCAGTATGGGATGGAGAAAGAGACTTGTGGACAACCACCTGTGATGCTTTAAAAAGAGCAAGTAATCCCTTCCTCTGAAGGTTAAAAATGACTCTGCCTTCATCATAGTCAGAGGATTAGCTGTCCAGACCTCTTTTGGATTACAGGATGCTAAGGAACGGTTCCCTTGTCTTCTGACATACTGTCTTTGATCTGCTAAATTTCACAAGCCACCAAATTTTTCTCTTTGAATCGGATAGGAAATTTCTAAAAAAATTAAAGCACAATTCAAGGTTGTACTTACTGTGGAGACATTTTCAAGTCCTTTTAAATCGTCTTTAAATTTCTTTTTGGATCCACTGTCCTCCAGTATGCTTGCTCTCTTGGAGCCTTTTTCTCCAGCTGCCTCCCTGTTTCGGTTCTTTGTAGCTTGTTTCTCTGCTAAAGGCAGCAAGCTTCCAGGTCTGGAGGAGGCACTGGTCTTTGTGGCATCACTGGTGACCTTTTCAGTGGAGGCATCTGTGGAGTCGCTTGACCCAGTAGCTTTAGAGGAATGGGTGGAGCAGACTGTTGGGCTCAGGCCTTGGGGCGGTGTTATGGTTTGGGCTTGGGCAGGTTGCAAGTAGATGGCATAGGATGGGCCTGAAGGGGCCTGAGGTAGGATCACAGGCACTGCTGATGACAATGGACTAGGGATCAGGGGGACCACCCCTAGAGACTGGATGAGGGATGGTGCCATCAGCTCTAGTTCAGCATTTGCTGGGGCATCCAGAGGAGCCACTGGTTTGTAGTGCCCAGATCTTGCTAGCTGTACTTTCACTTTCTTTCTGGGTTCACTGAAAGATAAGATTTAGAACATGACACAATGGAAACACATTTGCTTCTAAATGTTCTATCACTTTAAACCCAAGGTGAAGCCATTACAGAAACTATCATTTCTGTAATAACTGTGTAGGAGACATGGAACAGATTATCTCTGTAATTTCCAAAGCTAGTGCTTATGCTCACACAAAGCAACTGATTCTAATAACACAATGTGAAAGTAATTCACTCTGTTACTAAAGAGCACTGCCAACTTACCTTGATTGCTCTTCTAACTGCATTTTACAAATAGCTGCGAGTTGATCCATTTTACTTGGGAAGGGTGGAGAATTCTGAGAACTCTCAGCTAGAAAAATAGAAAGGGGGGTGTGTGTTAAAGCTTAAGAATAAATATTCACACAGATGAAATTTTACTGAGGTCAAAAAACTAGATAACATGTACTGCCCCCAAAATTACAGGGCAATTAAACAGTGAATCCTACAAATGGCCATTTAAAAAAGTATAATATATATGTAACTTAGGCTTATGATTTAGGATCTTTGTGTAAAGATAGTGAAACACAAAATGTACCTTTGTTGTTCTTGACAGGGCTACTGGGAGCAGAATTTATCTTCCTCCGATCACTCTCTATACTCTTTACCAGTTTGATAAGAGATGGATGTCTAGTGAAGTTTGGTTTCCCACGCGTGGAAAAGAGGTTTTTGGCACAGTTCTCTTTTGTTGACTGCCTTACCTCCAAATCAGAGGTGGCAACAGGTATGACTGGGCTGGGGCCTGAAATGGAAAAAGGTCTGTATTAAAGGGGAGGAGGTGATTTCAGCTTCCTCCTGAGATATGAAATCAAAATGTAGTTCCAAAATGATTAGAGAGCAACTGTGCTACTCTCCCACAGGCTTTCTTTTGTCAGATGCACTCTGATACAGTATTTCATGTTGTATTTCTGAAACCACACTGTATCAGTCCTTTGGGATTCAAGAAGGAGTAGTTTATGAATCCCCTTTAGATGAAGACATGCATTTGGAGATGTTCAAGTTTCCTATACAATATGAAATCTATTTGGTTATAACCTATATGCATCCTCCTGTAAATCTGAAGTCATCCCTAATTACATATAATGCCTAATATAATCTGCATTGTATAGTATGTAAGTAGTTGTGATACTGTACTAGTTAGGGAATAATGATCAGAAAAGGTCTATATATGTTCAGTGCAGACAAACATTTAAAATTTCGACATTTTCATTGAGTGCTGGTGGCTTACGCTTGTAATCCTAGTTTCTCAGGAGGCTGAGATCTGAGGACGCTGTTTGAAGCCAGCCTGGGCAGAAAGTCCACTAGACTCTTAACTCCACTAATGTAACAACAACAAAAAAAGGTGGAAGTGGAGTTTTGGCTCAAGCAGTGGAGCACTAGCCTTGAGGAAAAACTCAGGGACAGTGCTCAGGCACTTAGTTCAGGACTGGCACCCATGCACGTATACATGCGCATGCACACGTGCACATACAAATTCAGTATTTTCAACTTATTGTAAGTTGAATCCTTGGATGTGGAACATTCAGACATGGAAATGGACAATAACCAATGAAGAGCTAGACTGTAGTCACTCTTCATTTTCTTTCTTGGTGATGTATTAAAAAGTATATGTCCTGACTGGGCATCAATGGCTCACATCTATAATCCTAGCTACTCAAGGAGGTGAGATCTGAAGATTGAGATCCAAAGCCAGCCTGGTCAGGAAAGTCCATGAGACTCCTGTATCTCTAGTTAACTACTATTTAAAAAAAAAAAAAGGAAAAGAAAAGAAAAGCCAATAGTGGAGCTGTGATTCAAAGTGGTAGAGCACTAGCCTTGAGCACAAAAGGACAGCACCCAGGCCCTAGGTCATGCCCCAGGACTGGCACCAAAAAAACCAAAATTATGTCTTATCATCAGACCTGATGAATATGATCCGTATACTTGCTCCACTGGTTAGGCTACTTTTGGAAAATGCGCCCAGAGAGGAAAGCAGAGACACACAATGTCTGATGCAAGATGTCTCAGCTAGCAGCAGGAGGGTTTGGGGTATATATCTGGTTAGTACAGTCCCACAACCTTCATTCCAGATTCCTGGACCAGAACATCTCTCCGTGAAATGCTTCTAAAATTTCAGTAACCTTGCAATGGTGCCATTGTCCTTTCCACTTCACAGAAGAGGAAACTGAGTCTTGGAGAAGTAACTTGCCTGAGGACACATAGCTAATAGGTGGTAGAGCTGAGACTAGAACCTAAGTCTCCCCATCTTTCTGTGGTTCACATTCTTGCCATTTTCCAGTGCTTCTGTGTATAGATATTTGATGGGATGCAAAAATATGAGCATTTCAGTGTTGAATATTAGAAACATCTACCTTGAAACCAGATTAGATTCATTTCTTATTCTCAATGTGTTACAGTTTTTGATGTTTTTACTGAACAGAATATGAGAGCAACCATGTATATGCTCTCTGAAGCTTTCAACTTTTTAAATCCATTCACTTTCAAATTTTACTTCCTGGATACAGGGTGAGAGAAGGTGGTTATGGAGATTACATATCTAATGTCACCAGTAGCAAACTCTATATGGGCACTCATCTTTAATAGCTTTTACAGTCATTTATATATGTCCTTCCCATGTGGAGTTGGAAAGAAAAATCTCTCCAAATGTGCATTAATTTGGAAAAGAATTTTAAAAATGAAAGAAAAAATACATACCACTGCTATTTAGACTGATTTCTGGGCCTGTCCATTTAAAAGCTGGTTTTCTTCCTCTTTCCTCTGTAACATGAACTTTCTTGATAAGATTCAGGCTACTCAGAACATTAGCTATATCATACAATCTCCTAATTTTTGCTAGGAAAAAAAAAAAGATATATGCCACTTAACAGAATAATGAAAGATCAAAAGATTCTGCTTCATAAGAAATTAATGTATATTCTAAGAGCTGCCCTGTCAATGTCAGACAGGAACATCTGACTCCTTTTAAGTTATTCTATGGCTGCCCCTTTAATTAAAACCAAGAAGAGGTTTAAAATATTTAAAAGTCAGTTGCTGCTGGTACTGAATTTTGCAATGACAACAGTACACTTTGAAAACAGAAAAGTAACTTGATGAAATCACCAGACTTATAAAAACTTGCCATTCCTAAATACTTCTGAGGAATCAGAAGACTTTATGTGAACAAATAGAAATAAAGCATTGGTAAATGTATTGCCTTTCTATTCACAATAGCATATAAAACAAGATTTCTTTCATAGCATGAAGTATGGAGAATTCTGTACCCCTAAGGACATTTGTACATTTTTAGGTTTTTAAGTGATAGGCAACATATAGATCTGTTAATTCTACAAATCTCATGATTTAAAAATGTTTTTGTTACAAAGAATCTATGCTAACTTCTGTTTGATAGTACAAAATTACAAATGGAGTCTCCCTTCATAGCCATTCTAGAAGGTTCTGAGTTCCCTGAGGATGCAGCAAATTACACATCTGCACTTCCAGAAATAGCTAAATGCTATAACCAGTGAAACAGGGAGCTGAAAACTGTCTGGTGACTCAGAGAAAAACAGGTGACCCATTTGTAGTACAGGGATGTGGTTTCTCAAATTGCAGATCTCCCAAGCCAACTGCCTGTACTACTGTCTTTACTCTCTACTTAGTTGTCTTGAAATAAATATATATCAATCTAGGGATGTCTGAATGTACTTCTGAGACTAGTATGGCTTTACAGGCTAGGATGGCATTTCCAGGTGAGCCCCCAGACAATTCCTGTGACCTCTGAGGTCAGTCAGGGTGGCTCTGCCTCACTATATGGCTGCGTCCTGGGAAGCCACCTACATCTAGTACAGACCCCAGAAGAGAAAAGCATTCACTAGATGCCTTTCTCAGGCACTTCTTTTCACAATTTCTCTCTATTCCTTGCGGAGGTTCCTGCAAAGTCTGGCACAGGGATCAAGGCAAATTCTGTGTTAGAATCCTAGAGTCCCTTTCAAATTTAAGATAATCTGGCTAAAACTCCTCTTTCAGAACCAACAGGCCATTTATATTGTAGGCCATTCTGGGGGATATTTTTTCATAGGAGTTATTTATACCTTAACATATCAGTATTAGTGCAGAGAGCAGAGATCAAGGAACCCACTTCTTCTTTACAATTTATTGCTCATTCAGATCTTAGATAGTACAGATTCTATGACTTTGTTACAGTATCATGTGAAGCCAAAGTATCTAACAAATAAGAATAGTTATACATATCTTTGATCCCCACAGGCCAGTACCACCATACCTGCTGAAAGTGAAGGTAGAAAAGCCAAACTAGACAGGATGTGTTCAGTGCTCTATACATTTGGAAATAAGCTAATAATAGAAACGTTATTGTTTGTGATTAGATTTAAGCTCCACAGAAGTCCATGGCACTTACTTTTAAACTTGCTTTTATCCAAATCTTCCACATGGTCTTCCCCAATTAAAATCTTGGCAGCAATTTCTAAGCTTACTATCTGAGGCGTTGACACTAAAAACAGCATCACAAATTTCTGGCTCATCACTCTTAAGGACTTATCTTTGCGGCTGTTTACAGAAGCTTTGGGGAAAGAAGAAGATTAGAGAATTAAAATTCGTGAGGGGACAAGTGACTTCTAAAGTGACAAGGCTAAAAATACTACCACCTGATCATCCAGCTGACAACTGCAGTGTTTTAGCATTACAGCCAAGTAGCTATATAGAAGAAAGCAAGCTCATGAGAAATGTCTGAGCTTTTCTTTCTTTCTTTTTTTATTTTCATTCATTACTGGAGATTGAACTCAGGGCATCACACTCACAGCATTCTATCCTTTGAGCCATATACCTAGTCTTTTTGCTCATTTTTCTAGTTTATCAGATAGTGTCTCACACAAACTTTACCCAGGATGGCCTCCAACCACAGTCCTCACCTCTGTCTTTCAAGTAGTTGAGATTATAGAGCTGTGCCACCTTGCTCAGCTAGTATAGACTTTTCCATGCTATTGCTCACCTGCCCGAAATTCCACTCCAGGAAGTTCAACAAAACACATGTCTTGGTGTCCATTTTGGCCAGTGTTTGATTTGATGATATGGTCCTCAATACTGTAACTCTTAATAAAGTCAAACTCTTGTTCATACTCTTTCTTTTTGATCATCATAATCTGTTCAGCATACTTATTCTCCTCTCCAACGCTCTTCAGAGTACCAAGGGTTTTGTTGAGATTGTGTCGCCCATGCCAAGTGTACCTGTTTTTGGCAAGGCGGCTCACCATGTGTAAGCTCTCTAAGACATTCACTATATCATAAATTCGCCGACGCTCAACATCTACAAAGAATACGATTGTAGGTTAATAGGTCACTTTTGTGTTTTGGAAGTGAGTCACTTCTTCTATGGGCTTTTAGTCAATAGATTCAAGGTAATATAATTTTATTTACTACTGAAAACAACAGGGTGAAGGTGGAAGAGTTACAGCAATGTTCTCAAAGGTAGAAATGAGTGATTATGACTTAGAAAGGCAACATCTATTGATTATCTAATACGTACCAAGGCACAGACATTTTATCCTAACTTGTGAAGCAGTTACTTTAATGACCAGAACAAAGCTACTAACTTACCTAGGGAATACCCAAGTCTTTACACACACACACACACACACACACACACACCCACACACCTGCTTATCACATTCACACAACAGGTCTAAAATTATGAGATTTTAGAAAAAAATAAGATGGACTTTTTAAAAACTGACAAAAAATTAGGAAAGTATAACTCTCATTGAGTCTAACTTCTCCTACATCCTTGCTACTACTAAAGACGTTGGTAGAAGTAACTCTTATGACTTGCCCAATCTAGTTAAATTGAATTATCTGGCATAGCTCACATCTTCAAGATTAAGATTAAGGTATTTATATAACTTTCGAAAAACATTTCTAATTTGCCATACATTCTTTTAGTTATAACTAGATTCAGGTCTACGAAAGACACAATAGCTTTTGCCAAACACCAAAATACTCCCCAAACCAGTCTTCAGTCTGGTGGTGGCAGGGTGGCAGGGAGTACAACCTGGTTCCATCTACAGGAGGTGCCAATCAATGTAACAACCAAGAAGGTTTTGGCTCCTCAAGAAAAGAGTCAAGAGGAAAGTTCAGAATTGTAGCTGTTTGTGAAACAGAGACAATAAAACAATGTTGCCTTTCTGTAAAGCTTTAGACAACCTCAGCAAAAAGTAAGCATATCATTTTCATGTTTCTGAGATTAATTGCAATTAAAAGCCATTCATCTTTATCCTCAGATTAACAGGACTTTGGACACCTATCAGTTCCCTATAGCCTTATTTATGTCTGCTACAAACACTGCTTCTGAGCATACAACTGAGGAGTTAAGTCCATAAACCCAAGTTTAATTATTAACCTTTTAAGCAAACTTTTTGTACTTACTAAGTTCTTCAGCTACCTCATCAAGACAGATGTCATTATTCACAGCAGGATTGGGATAATTAGGATACCGGGCTAAGAACTTGTGACACAACAATCCTAAACTTTTATCTTTTCGACTTGGTTGAGATTTCTCATATTCATCACCAGATAAGTGGTCCTACAAAGGAAAAGGTAAACAAATTTATTCTAAAATTCATTTTTGCCAGATTTATTAGGGGCGTGTGAGCTCCGTGACCAACACCTCTTACACACCTTTTCTATACATGCTAAGCTTGTACAACTACAAAGTAGGAGGTAAAAAAGACAAAGTTGGGTAAGCCAGTACAATTTGCTTAGCAAATCCAAAAGCTGGAATGAAAGTCACTAAAAGTTTCAGAATTCCCAGTGTTTGTGTGTATTTGATGGGATCAGGAATGTTCATGGAGTTTAGTAACAGCCAGAAAGCAGTGCTGATTAAAATTATATTGCTGGCACTTCTGTTTTTGTTCTTATTTTTCTTTTCTTTTTTTTTTGCTGGTCCTGGGGCTTCAATTCTGGGCCTGGGCACTGTCCCTGAGCTTCTTTGGCTGAAGGCTACCACTCTACCACTTGTGCCACAGTGCCACTTCTGGCTTTTTCTGAGTAGTTTATTGGAGGTAAGAGTCTCATGAACTTTTCTGCTAGGGCTGGCTTCAAACCATGATCCTCAGATCTCAGCCTACTGAGTAGCTAGGATTACAGGTTTTGAGCCAGCGCCTAGCAATTGCTGGCACTTCTGCAACAGCTTCAAAACCTTCCCCCCTCCCAACATCTCCCCTGCCCTGCCTCCCCATTCCCAACCTAGTCCTCTGAAACCTACGTGTAAACAGTCTTTGGCCTCAGGTAATCCACTTCTATTGTCAAATAATCCCCTTTTCTGATCTCTGCTTCGGATCTCAGGGCTCACAGCACTGATAAGCATTTTCAGATTGGCTGTTGGTGTCCATGGCTCTCCCTGGGATGCTTCTTTGGGTTTGGTGGGCGTGGTTAAAGGGCCAAAATCGGGCTGTCTCTCAGGTAGAGGTATATTGGCCTTAGTGGACTCTTTCAGGGGGGTTTTCATCAGTCCCCTTTTATGTGGTTCAAAAAAGAGGTTTTCCTAGTTCAAAAGAAGTAAATAATTAAATCTCTTGTAAAACAGGACTTATCAGGTAAATTTTGATTCTAAAATTATATAATATAGAGAATATTGCTAAGAAGAAAATGCCTAATGTGATTGCACAGTTGACTATAAAGTATATCCCAATGATTAGCTTCCCATTTAACACCTATTCTATTTTGTTTTTTTATGTCACCCTGCCTGGTCTGAAACTCACAACCCTCCTGCTTCAACCTCTAGAGTTCTGGGATTACTGGCATGGGATACTATGCCTTGGCTGTTACTGCATTCTAGAATTTAACTCTCATTTTCAGTTTTGCAAAAGAATGGATCTAAATGTTTTCATTTAATTCATGTTTAATTTAGTTAGGACTTATAATTTCCAATTAACTTCTATTTAATTAATTTTTGATTAATTTGGATTTATTTCTGATTCTATTTTGAAATAACTTTAGATTTAAAGAAGTGAGTTCACATGTACCCATCACTTATGTTGCTCTTATAGGTCTGATAATTTTAAGTGATTGCCCCAAGCTCCAGAAGCAACCTTTATAAATGAGTATAAGGGCTGGGAGGGTGGCTCAGTGGTAAAGTGCTTGCCTTGCATGCATGAGGCCCTGGGTTCAATTCCTCAACACCACATAAGCAGAAAAAGCCAGAAGTGGCGCTTTAGCTCAAGTGTTAGAGTGTTAGCCTTGAGCTGAAGAGCTGAGGGACAGCGCCCAGGCCCAGAGTTCAAGCTCCACGACCATAAAATAAAATAAAAATGAGTATAAGACCCATAGAACAGAAACCATTATCTACCTAGTATAATAGCTGCATTTAGTGAGTGCTGAATTAAAACACTATTTACATGAAGGAGGAGGAGAACCAAGCAGATAAAATGAGGGCCAACATATGCCAGATTTATCTAGAAAGTCCTCAGTGCTTAAAAGTGGGTCTTCTAACCAGAAAAGTCTGCACTTTCAACATCTATTGTACCCAGGGAGAAATGGGGCCAATAAAAGTAAAACTAGCTGCCCAAAGTCATAAACCTAGCTCCTGGCAGAAGCAGGGCTGCCATTGAGACAAAAGAGGGTAAGTTAAATAAAACTAATGGAGACCTATGTCCACAGGAACTTCATATACTTTTTAAAAATATATATCTGTAGTAATTTTAGAAGAAAATACTTGGAATGGCTATAATTGAAAAAAAGAGATTCATTAAACTCTTCAATAACTTTAGAAATATAGATGAAAGATACTATTTTTTGTCTATGACATTTAAGGATTTATCAAGGGCTTTTCTATGTGTAATGTTAACAGAATCTTGCCAAACATGACATCAGGCTGTATAAGGTCACACATGACTAGAACACAGACCTTCCCATGCCATGCCATGTATGTAGTATTTGCATGGAAGTTCATGTGATTGATCCCATGAGATGTACCCAAGGAGGTACTGACCTAAGGATGGAGGGCTTCTAAAAACTGCAGCTCTTGGCCTCACCATACCAGGACAAATAGTGATTTTCTTCTTTTACTAATATCTAATACCCATAGGAAGCTTTTATGCAAGTTCACTTTTAAAAAAAGGCACTAGTTGAATATCAATCCACATATTCTTGCTGACAATGTTTTCTTAATTTTTCAAATAACTTATTTCTGTCTTAAACAGTATTTCAAACCCCAATATTTAAAGAAGTTGACAATTTCATAGAAAATTGCCTTAAAAGGAAATCATATTTAGTAAAGACAAATGCCTGTTTTGAGTTTGAGCTGTTCAAGAATCCTTGCGCTGGAATACAACAAATTTTTTTATTCTTAAAATTACCTTTTATCTCGTTAAAATTACCCTTTATCTCCTTTAGACTGCCATGAAATCATTAAACTAGGAATATGACTAACCCTGGGCAACCCCCTCCTCTTCAAAAATTAAAATTTCCTTCTTTCTGGATGTTTAAAAGGGGAAGCCAAAATCAAACATTAACAAGAGGCTAAAAGATGAAACATTAAGTCAGGATAACACTACACTTTAAAATGCAGTGGTGAATAAAAATACAGCAGTTAAAAAAATACCTTTTCGTTCTCCATTCTGTCAATTTCTCACACATTTAGTGTTCCTTTAAAAATGATAAATCTGGAGCTCCTCCTCAATTCTCAGTTCAAGTATTCCAATCAATTCTAATAAAAAGCTTAATATCCTTAAATAAAAAAAAAGGAAATACAAAAAAGAGAAAATCAAAAACGAGTAGATCTGAAAATCCCTTCACAGACAGAAGAGGTCAGGGATACAAGAGGTGACAGTAACAAAGACTAATGAAAAAAAAATTACAAACTAGACTTAGATTTTATTCCTGATAGCACCACTGGGCAGAGATTCATCCCAACAAACAGGTAAATTCCTTCATAAAACCCATCTACTGCCTAAGACTTCAAGCAACCGCAAAACTTTCAGTGACTGTCCTCTCCCATCTTTGGAGAAGGCGGGCCATTCTCCCGCGCCCACTGAATACACTGTAGCAAGCACCCACCTGTCCACAGATCAGGGCTCGGGCTCTGGACAGAGCACACGAATTCAGGTTCTGGATGAGCACACCGGACCCCAAGTATCTCAATACCCATCTGCATCTAGATGTTTGAATTTCACCCCTAATATACACGTGCGCAGGCGCAGTGACAAAGTTTTGGTAAGTCGCTTGATAGGAAACTTCTAAATTCTGCTCCAAAACGCTAAGCGTATGGCTGGGCATTTAAAGGACGCCTTATAATGAAGACTTCTTTTTTCCTTTACAGAAAAGCTTCCTTAAAGCCTCAGAGCGCCTTGTACTCCTTGCTCAGTTGGCCGATTCACGCCACGATGTTCGACTCCACCACGATGGGCTAATTTTGCTTAGTAAAGCATCCAGGTACAGACCCCACGCCGTCACCAGCTCCGCGCCGGGAGAGCTTCCCCCTCCTCCCGGGGAACCTGCACCGCCCTTCGTCAGGCCGCCAGTCCACAGCCCGCCCGACAGTTCCTAGATAGCATCCCCGTGGTTGCCAGAGCAACGGTTCCAGTCCAATCAGAGAGCCGGCTCCAGGCCTGCGATTGGCTGACGGCTCTAGGGGCGTGGCCGGACCTTCCGCCTCCGATTTAAAAATTTGGCGCGGAAAGTCGGACCGTGGCCGGCGCCGCCCCTTAGTTGCGCGGGGCTTGAGCGCGGGCAAACCCGCGCCCGGAACCAAGGCATCCTCGCCCCTCCCCCTTACTCGCCCCCCCCCGCCCTTCTGCGCGGGATCTCAGCTCCTCCCTCCAAGGCCCCCGGCGGAGCGAGAGGCGGGAAACGGCCGCCGCCGCCGCCGCCGCTGCCCGCCCAAGCTCGCTCCTATTGCCGGCCGTCCTGGCGCGGCGTCCCTCTGCGTTCCGCTGACCTGTCAGTCCACCTCACAGTTGGAGCCGGCGGCGGCTGATCCCGAAGTCCTGGGCACTCCTTATCCGCCCAGGCCCAAGACTCAGGGTGTCTGTCGGGCGGTCAGTCTTTTCCCGCCGCGCCGAGGTGGGGTGCCAGAGGGACACGCCGGGACCAGGACTGGCGGGCCGGCGGGCGGGCAGAGGGAACGTGACCGTGCTGGAGCAGTCAAGTCCCCGATTTGAAATTAACCCGCTCCCGGCGCGAGCCGCTCCCGCGGGCAGGGAGGGCCGCTCCCCTCCCCCACGCCCTCTCCTCCCGGCCGGGACCCCGCGCGCCAATCGGAGACTGTCCGCCTCCGCTGCCGGCGAATCAGGATGCAGGCACCGCCCTCGGGTTCCGCCTTCACAGCGGAGCTGGGGGGTGAGGAGGGGGGGGGGAAAGAAAGTTCTGCAACTTTTTTTTTTTTTAATACATCCCTTTATCCTTTATCCTGACTTGAAGTTGGGAGGGGGGGGGATGAAATTTGGCTAGCGAGCGGAGATGAGGGCGCCCTGCGATTCCAGAGTGAGTCCATCTTCCCCAGCGCAGCCCGGGAAGGTTCGCTCACCTGCCCTCCGGACCCTCTTCCATCCGGGGCACGTATTGTATCGCGCTGCTCAGTACCTGCTCACCCGGCTGCCAGACTTTGGTGCGCGGAAGAAGCTTGGCTATTGGTGCCCAGCTTCACTAGGGCGCGGGGCTTTGGTCCAGGTGTGAGAATTCAGGTGTGGAGAGGTGGGTGGGGGGGTGAAGCTGAAAACCCGCCACGCCTGTCCTGGAACCCCGAGTCTTCCCTCCCAGTCTCTTACCCACGCCTTTTCTCTTCCCTGTTGTCTTCTCTTGTTTTCCTCTGTCTTCTCTCTCTCTCCCCCCTTGCTTCCAAGCCTCAGGTGGCATCAGCCCGGTATATTGTAGAGTTTCTGTAGTAGCATCAGAGTTAAGAGACCCTACAGTCCGACATCCTCATTTTGCAGGAGGGGGAAACCGAGGCGGGTGGGCGCCAGGGCGCTGCCTGGTTCTGCCTGGATTTTTCGCATCCGTGTTGACTTACTGTGTTATTCTCTGCTTGAAAGCGGTTCCTCTTTTCTGGAGACCTGTGCTGGGGTTGCTGGACCGCATGTGTTGCCCAGCCTCTCCAAGGTGGGGCGGGAGGCGGGGGACAGGGGGCTCCAGGACAGTTTAGTTCAGACTCTTCTGCCTGTGTATCTGAAATCTTTAAACGCCATCAAGACCCGGGGCCAAGCCAAGTCCCAACGTTTCACTGGCGTGTCAATGAATCATTCGTTGCTGACTCGCAGCGCGAGACATTATTTTTTCCTGGACAAGGGTGGAGATACTCTCCCACTAAAAGCCAGGGGCTTGGGTGGGGGCATTTTCCCACGGACTACAGGCCACCAGATTGTTAGCACCTTCTGTATCTGCTTGTAGTAGCTGTAGGAGACACGGGTCCCTGGGTATCCGGCTTCAGGCAAGTACTACTCAAGAACATGCTTCAATCTGAAAGTTGGCCTTTCAGGTGCTGTGAAAAGGGAGCCGGCTGCCTGTAGCTCTTGGGTGTAAAATAAACCAGGCAGAGCCCCTGATTCTTACATGGTGGGGCAAGGTAGGCTTTAAAAGCATTAACAAAAGGTGGATGACCGGTGCTTCTGCTTTAGCCATTATCTGTCTCCCATATGAACTGTCATACCTCTCCCTCTACCCATTCGAGTGCAGTGGGCCCCTAAGTCCCTTCTTTAAAGATACTCTTCAGAAGCACCCTGCCAGATGACCTTATTTCAGAGATGCAGGGCCATTTACACTGCAGGGGTATTGAGTGCTAAGTATCTATAAGGCAAATAGTGCAGGTGACATTTCACAGATGGCATCAGATGATGACATCTTGCTTCCTACTCAGCTCAGGTGTTAAAGCATGAATTATGACTTGGCAATCGAAGCAGAGCACTGTAAAGTAATAAACTCAAGATCTCACTGTGAAATGATAAGGCGGGCACTTGAGGTCAACTCTGTGTCACTACTCAGTGCTTTCCACCGTGCTGGCCCCTGTCCTCACTTGCTTCAGTGATACTTGTGCACTACTACATTTATCTTAAAAAAATATTTCAGTAGTTGTACGAAGGAATTTCAATTCAACATGTTGGCTTTTGAGTATAATACATCTTGGTCAATGTCACTCCCATGTACCCCCAAACCACCTATCCTTTCAAGTTATCTGGTTCTACACATCATTTTATACAGAAGAAAATGGAGTCTATGAAGGTTCAAGTGATAGCCAACTTAGCTGTAGAGCCAAGATTAGAATCCAAGTCTATCTGCTCCCATATCAAATATCCCAATCCATTGCCTTCGAAAGTTCTAGTGAAAGAACTGTTAGTGACACCTTAGGCCAATTCATAACCATTTTAATTTCTCCCAAAATACAAAATTGAGAAGGTGAGATATGTAATTCTTACTGAATAACAGTTATCATGTCTTATTGAAGCATGTGCTATCATCATCAAACACTGAAAAGTAGTCCTATTAAGAGTGATACATTTTTGAAACCTCACCTACCCTTTCTTATAAAGGAAATTTTAAGAAGGGTAGTAGCTTAGTGGGAGAGCACTTGCCAAGTGTGTATGAAGTTCTGGGTTTGATCCCTAGCATCACAAACCAAAACACAGAAAAATGTGTAGTATGTAAACTTTAACACTGAAATTCAGCATGATGGAAAGGAAAAAAAAGTCTTAAGACTACTGAAGACTTCTAGGTTTACTGCATGGCAGAGAGGGAAGGATCAGGGAATAATTTTCCTTATTTTATATAAATAATTACATAAATAATTGTTCTTATTTTCCCATCAGGTACATTTTCTAGCTATTACATACTAATGCAAGGGGATGGTTGTGCATTTACTTGTGGTCATTAGTTAATCATGTATAAAATCTGTGTCTCACTGAAGTTAGAACAATTTTTTTCCACTCTATTCTGCCATTCTTGTAGGTTGCACAACTCAGAGGGCTGATAAGTTGTGTAACACATTCAACAATATACAAGGTATTATGAAAAAGGCTATCAAAGGTAAAAGAGACCATAGGTGTCATTTGATGTGCCTAGATTCAAAGGTACCATTTGGTATTTCCAAATCACACTGAAGAGTCACACACTGAATGTGAAAACCCCTGGCCACACCTTCTCCAATGACTAAGGGAGATGAGGGGTTAGGGAAGGAGTTACTCTAGTTGTGAGTTCCTAGGTCCCTTTGGTCTCTCTTGCACTCCTTCCCTTACTTCTCAGTACTTGTATTTCCATCTCCATTTCTTGCCCAGTAGGGAAATTAAGGGTTATGTTTTTTTTTCTTTCTGTAACCGTGTTGCATAGCCACCACAAAACATGGGCACAAATCCCCATGTGCTGGGTTGAACAACAGCTGCTCACAACACAATCTCAGCCTTCACTCCTTCCAATAAGGTGGCTATTCTACCAGCACATGGTACTGGATCTAATCTGGACTGGGTTTAAAGAGGATGGCTACAACAAGTGAGGGATCCAAGCAATCAGAGACTTTGAAGCTGGTCAGGCAAACGGTGGAGCTAGGTTTGGTCAGAACTTGTGTTCATGAAATAACTTGCAGGAAACTCATGGTGATCCCTGGATAGATATTTGTAGCCATGGACTTGATGTAGTAGTAGTAGTTGCTGTTATTTATTGAGCCATTATGGGTCCTTTAAGCAAATATTTTGAGAATATAAAATAACTACTGAAGACTTAGCTGGGTGCCAGTGGCTCATGCCCATAATCCTAGCTACACGGGAAGTTGAGATCTGAGGATTATGGTTCAAAGCCAGCCCAGGCAGCAAAATCCGTGAGACTCTTATCTCTAATAAAACCACAGAAAACCAGAAGTAGCACTGTGGCTCAAGTGGTAGAGTACTAGCCTTAAGCTGAAGAGATGAGGGACAGTGCCCAAGCCCAGAGTTCAAGCCCCACAACTAGCAAAAAAAGAAAGAAAGAAAGAAAGAAAATTCTGAAGACTTATAGAACTGAATTCTGTCATTGTATTACTGCATGTATAATCTAAGAATGGTTAGACAGCTTATCAGTAGGTTGAAAGAACACATATTTTTCCCAGATTCAGGGTATTTAAAAAAAATAGTCTGTGGCTAGGTTCCTGAGAGTAGGGATAGGAATTTGCTAC